CATGACGCCGTTTTGACCATTAAATGGGCAGAAAAAATGTATAATAGTGAGCCTCTGTACAGAGGATCGTGAAGTCCAACTGTCCAAGTGCATAAACTTTCCTAATGTTGATATCAATTTTTATTTTACTTTTAATATAAATTTAGAAAAAAAATATTCATTACATTATAAATTTATGCCTCTCAAATTAGAAAAACCTTAAAAGAAATGCATCCTGTATAAAAATTGTAAACCTTCCCTCCATGTTTCTCCCTACGGAATTTTAGACTTTTTTTTCCATCCCTTATACTTATCTGTCAGCATTTGATTGGTGGATTGTGCATTTCTCCATTGATTTCATGACACGGGAAATTTAAAAGGTGAAAAAGTATAGAACCTAACATTTACTAGAGAAAATTAGGCGTCAGACCCAGAAGAAAAAAATGTAAAGATCAATGGACCATGACAGGAAAAAAAATAAGACACATTACAAATGAGACTCAACAACTTCCTAACATACGAACAAATTCATTCTCTGACACATGAGAACTATGATGTCTAAGGTTCAACATGTAACTGAAATTCTTGTAAGACTAGATTCTTTCAAGTTGAAGGGATCTTTGAAATCTCTACCAATAATTTCTGTAGGGATTGAGACTTCAAGAAAAATGGGGAGTGGTCTGCACCTTTGAGACAGAATTCCTTTTCTGGAGGGCTTGAGTCTATCATGCCTTCCTGCAGTGTGATGGGAATGGCGTTATCTTGAAGAGTTTCTACATAAAACCGCATCACAGATCCATATTTCATTTCAGAAAGGGAAAGCTTTTCCAAAACTGGTGCAAAAGGTATTTGCCTCATTAAAACAGAGGCTAATGCAACATCCTGGACCAGGGGAGCAAAAAAGGAATTAGAAATTGTTGAGGATGCAGACAGTTGCAGGGGAGAGACAGAGAGAGAGCAAAGCAATATCAAATTTGAATAAGGAACCCAAAGGGTGTTTTGTCATGTTAATTTGACAAAGTGACCATAAATCATTCTGAACACGTAGTACTACTCAATTAGAAAAGCCAAACGTGGCAGCTTTTTGAGTAATAATTAACAGAAATTTGAAAATGCATCTAACAATGTTAAGCGAATCCAGTGTACAAACTTATTAACGAGCATTTCGGACTGTCTAGAAATTACATGCTTCTAGTACGTATGTGTAATGGCCAAGTTTGACATGTTTTAACTTCCGACCCTTCTTAAACGGAGATATATTGCATTTCAAATCCTTGATTTTTTTTTCAAAAGAGAATTTCTGGTTTGGCTCTCAAGCAAAGGTCATCCAAGGCTTTCAAGATTTTCTATATAGCTGCACTTGGACAGTAATCGTGCCTACTTCAAACTATCTGATGGGAACACATGGGAAACCACTTGATAATATATATTTTTTTTGGGCCAAAAAGACTACTTGATGATTAGATGTTCAAACAATCACCAAAATATGAACCCTTTGTTTGTATCATTCCATGTGCTATCAGTGGATATGGAAATATATGGATATGATTGTATGGTACTGGTAGCATGTTTAAAATTTCTAAGTTATGCCAAGTTGCAAAATATATGAGTTGTCATCCAGAAGTAAAAAGAAGGAACTTGGTCTATGACTATGAGAACGACGGAAAAAGAAAAAAAAAACATTAACTTGCAAGTTCAGATGTACCTTGGAAGGACTTTGATTGAATAACAAGTCCCCTGATAATGACTTGTTTGGTTCAACAGCAGTTGGTGGGTGATCATTCCCATTAGCATACAAAAACTTCTAGCCCACTGCATTAGATCAATTGAACCTGCCTGTACCAGTTCAAAACCTTGATTCAATTTATTCAAAATATCATTTATAAGAAATTGGTTAGATTGATTAATTGTTTAGGAATAGAATTTATAGAATACCATCTGTACCTCAAAAATGGAAAAAGGCTTCTCAATTGGAAATTGGAAGGCATGAGCAAATTGGATTCTTGTTTCATGATTTTCACCATCTTCAGTCCACATGTATGTGGAAAGGTTTAACCAAAAACAAATCATAGTACAAGTTCCTTCTCTTATTGATGGTTTCTTGACCAAAAATGGGAAATACAAGTAAGTTTTACATTCTCTAGTGTTAGAAGCAAGGCCTCAAAAAAGAATATTGTTAAAAGACCACAGTCCATATGGTTAAAACAAGGTGCTAATGTACCAGTAAGAGGTTAGTTGAATAGGTCCTTACTAACCATAACCCATAAGACCTTGATTTGTGGTCAAGGTCAGGGGTTCAAAACCTCTTCAATGCTAAGTAGTTTAAGTTTTGATGTATCAAAAAGGGAAGTAAAAAGTTGGATGTCAATTATGCAAGCAAATTAGTAAGTTCAGAGGAGCTGAGAACTGGGACGCTGGTTGACCTACACACAAAGTAAAATAGGATATCTGAAGTATTGTTATTATGTAACGCACTTTCGAATATACACAAAACAGACTGTCTCTTGTGAATGACAGTTTTTTGAAATTCAATAATGATTGAACATAAGCAAACCTGCTGGGAGAATAATCGTTTTTCATCAAAACAAACTTGTTTTGTATGTACTAGTCTTTGACATTCACCTAGTACCTTCGAATAATAATACATAAATCCCAAAACAAGGAGCATGTTACATGAATACAATTAAAGTAAAGCCTTACAATGAGATGAAACACTTAACATCAAAGATACAAGAAGATCACATTTGAAAATCAACAAAAAAAACTTCTCAGCAACTTAATGAAACTGAAATTGATATGAACAGTGCACATAAACAGTAACCTTGATGCACTGTTCCATTAGTCTTCAACATGGCCAAAAAAAATTTGTCTTCACCATCTGAAGTGAGGATTGCAATTCCAAAACTAGTACAACATGCTGAGAACTTACAATTCCATGTCCTTCTCTCAGTTTCCTTCCTAGACACAACTAATATCCTTGTTTCTGTCAGTACTCTCATTCAATCTTGTCGCTGATTTTAACTTGGAATTAATATCAATAAACACATCAGCATTGAATCTCAGTATGCACAAGCACCAAAAAAGCAGTTGTTGAATTCAAATGGTCAACCCTCTAGTTAATATGGTAAAAACGAAGAAGGTTCTAGGTTCATGAAAATACTTTCAAGTTTATAATCAATACAGGACTACAATGCAAAAACTTCATTTCCAGAAAGAAATTCTTTTGTTCAGGAAATTATCATACAGATTTATGTGTTTCAGAATGCAGTCCAGATATAGAGGTCAATAGAGAATTTTGCAGCTGAAATAACAATTGAGAAAAATAGAAAGAAAAAAAAATTCATAAAGATATATACATGTCACCTCTACATCTACTACAGATTTTGAATTGTTAAGGTTTCTATCACCATTTTATGAGGAACTAATACTGGGGAACTTTTTTATGTAAAAAGCCCTTGCAGAACTACTGTGTCATATAGCTGATTTGTGCATGGGCAATTTATCACGTACTTTATCTTTTACAGGTAAATATTTGAGCATGTTATTAGCAGCAGGTGCAGTTACAAGTTACAACTTTTAAGCACATATTTTAGCCAAATGCCAAAAAATTGTAAGTAATACTAAGCAAACAAAAATATTAAACATGAAAGTCTACAGTAACTCTACTAGGACCACTTTTTTACTTGACGATCACCCTTCTCAATTTAGAAATACAATAGAAGGCATGTGCGGGATTTTGTAGAAATCCTTTCCATCTTCTTGAAGGAGACCTTTGAATGCTCTAGTCATCCATCTAATCTCCAGTTCCTTAAGAGTAGTGATGAACATCAAACCTTCAGGAAACACCTTTAGTTTATAGCAATCTGAAATTCCTAGACGAACCAGACTAGGCATGGCTCCTTCCTCCACTGTCCCCTCCTCTAAATTGGGAAGGCCACGAAGGAGCAAGGTCTTGAGTTGGGGAAAACCTTTTCTTGAGCAAACCATTTTCTTTCTGACAAACACTTCCCACCCGTTAAAGTATCTTAAGTTTGGCAGCTTCCCAGAGTCTTCATTGGGTCTTCCTAAAGCCTAGGTCCCCACAAAGTTAACTTGGCAAGGTAGGGAGGGAACTAATGGTACTGAGGTAGGTTCTCTATCCGCCCTTCTATGTGCAGCTTGCAAAGACGAGGATAGACTAATAATAGCTGCCTTATATCAACAACCTTACCAGGAAAGGAGAGAATATCAGTCTTTAAAGACAAGGACATGAGGAAGTTTAATGTGCTTCTTAGAGGATCAAAGAATCTGACAAAGTTTCCGAAGTATCTGGCATCATTCAGCACAAGTTTCCTGAGATTGGTCAACCTGAGAAGATCTTTAACATCACATTTGTTAGACTTGCCAGCTGCAACTTATCAGTTACATCACCACCACTTTGGAAGATATAGATGTCTCAACCACACCATCTTCCATAATACATCTGGCAATTGTACAGTTGATTCCCAAGAAAACTTATTTATGGTTTGCAAATTCAGGGTTTCCAAGAACACCAGATTGACCAAAGACGATGGCAACTCTCTTATAAGAGTTTTCTTTATACTTAAGAACCTCAGCTGTGTCAGAGTTCCTATATCTGCTGGTAACTTCACCTCAGGTCCTTTAATTCCTTCAAGATCCAAGACTTTAAGCAATCTGAACTTGGAAACTACAGAATTCATTATCTGTGCAATATCTAATCTGTGTTTTTTTAACGGAAGAAGAAGAGGGACCTCAGGCTACAATTTTTCTTGTATTGTGGTGGAATAAGATCATCAACATCTTCCCTCAAAAGAATCAAAAGCCTGCGACTCTTTCCAATTGATCTTGTTCCAATGGATGATGGAAGTGCACCAAGGGTCTCATTCCCACACTAGTGGTCAATTATGTCATTGAAACTTTCTTGTCTTGCCTTCGACAAGCAAAGATCATGTGTAAGGTCATGAAGGCGACAAGTTTTAATTGTTCCAGTTGAACCCCTCACTCCCACTTGAACCATACACCTGTTGATCAAACCATGGAGGTAGCCTTCTGCAACATCCTCCATTGTTTCATCTCCTTCTAACTCATCCTGTGAGAACACAAAGCCTTCTGCCACCCACTGCTGAACTAACTTTTTAGTTGGTATATCAAAATCTTCAGGGAACTGACACAAATAGAGGAAGCACGGTTTCAATTGGTAAGGCAATTCATGGTAACTTAAAGCCAATACCTCAGATAATCTTGCTTGTTCATGGCCTTTAGTTTTGGCCAAATATGACCTGATATTTCCGTTCACCATGTCCCACTCAATCAATGTTTCTTTTGTTGCCAAAAGCCTTCCAAGCACAACAATGGCCAAAGGTAAACTGGCACAGCATCCAACCATTTCCCTCCCTCGCTTCTCCTTATCTTCATTGATTTTGAGCTCTACAAGAAGAACAAGGAAAATTTTAAAAATTTGTTTCATGCACATAAACTCAAAGCATAGAGCATCATCTTTTCCACCAATAATCATTAGTTCCCTTAGCATGCATGCTCCAAGAAGGTTAAACAACCAATAGAAGTTTATTTCATCCTATATGACACTGAGATTGACATCACCAGATTCATAAAAGTTAAAACATGTATCTATATAAAACATGCCAACAACACAGAAACTTAATTTCAATTGTCACAGACATGTACTTAACATTCCTAATATTGAATTAATAACACATCTAATTTCAACCAATGGCCTAAGTGCAAGATTAGATTAAAGCAGTTTGCTTATTCCAGTTTATGTAGTCAGAAAAAGTAACAAAATTAGATCTGGAGATTGAAGAGCATGTTATATGATTGTCTACCTGAATCGCCTCTACTTGGAAATGCCTTCCTTTGGAATAACTCCCAACTATTTTCTTCATTCAAACAGCTTGGTTCATGAACAAATCCCTCTCGGTCAGCAATCAAAGCTACTTTTTTGTTGCGTGTTGTAAGCAGTACTTTGCTACCAGAAGTAGTTTCATTTGGAAAAGCAGCACTAAGAGTAGACCATGCCTCAGTGCTCCAAATATCATCGATCACAACCAAACACTCCTTTTCTTTCTGAACTTTATAAAGCTTTTTTGCCAAATCATCATCTCTCATTCTTAAAATTTCCTCCCTCTCCTCCCTGGATGGAGTGATAAGTTTCAGCAAAATCCCCTCCCAAACATCTCTTCTTTTGCACTGCTGAAACACATATGCCCAAGCAAACCCTTCAAAATGTCTCCTTATATCACCATGATGGTAAACAGCCTTTGCCATGGTAGTCTTTCCCAGACCACCTATACCACAGATAGACACAACTCTGCATTTCTCTACATTAACCAGCTGTGTTATCAGTTGCCTCATATCTTCATCAAACCCACAATATGCTCTTCAACGACATGGGAATAAGACCACCTGAGCTGCCTCTGCCTCTCAAATGCTAAGCTAGCTCCTTCTTCTTTTCTTGCAGTTATTCCATAAGTTTGTAAGCTTCTGGTGAGATCAATTATTTGAGATTTAATCTTGTCAATTTTTGAAGCAAGGTTGTGAAGTGCTATGCCTTTGGTGATGGGATTATGGATTCTTCTTCCATTCCGAGCTGCAAATTTAAGCATAAAAATGTCAATGCCACCCTCAATGTCAATAAGCAGCATCTCTTATCTTTGAAACCCAATTCTGAACACTGGCATCTTCATCTTGCCTCTTGTCAGCATCTTTTAGAAATCACTGTATCCATTTTAGCTAGGCTTGCATCTGCTGGACCTGATCCTGTACACTCCATAAGAGTGTGGTTTCCTCGATCAGGAGGTTACCCAACCTCTCCACAAGGATACCACAGCATCAGCCATGTAATATGCCTTTGCTTCTCGAGTAAAGACAGACAGGTACAAGCTAAAAAAATAGCAAAAACCCTCTTATTTTCTGAACAATTAATTAGGAAGCATTCAAAATTTCACAAAAATAACAAAAACTCCGCGAATTTCACAAAGCCAAAGGAGAAATGTAAGTCATCAATTACCTATCTTTCACAAAGCAAACTGCACTTGAGTGCTTCCATCTTCAGGTTTTATTATATTTCCTCCAACATCAAAGCCATCAGTTTTTACTTTGACTGTAAGGGCATCTTCTAAGTAACTGGCAAGCATTGACATAAAGCAGTAGTTGGTGGATAAAAGGGATTGGGATGACCCAACACGGATTCCCATGTAGTATGTGCATTGAAAATTACTTTCATACCAAATAGTAAAAGAGAAGAAACATAGAAACCTTCGAGCAACTTCCATTTCCTTGACTTCTGAATAAGAAAGCAACTAGCAGGGACCTACCTACTTGGAAATTACCTGTATGTTTCATGTACTTTGAAGCAGTTGGATTGGGAAAAGCAGTCAAAAAGACAAAAGTTTGTGATTTCAGACTCAATAACTTTGAAATAAAAGGAAATTAAGACCGACATAATACAAACGCGATGCAGATTTGCCCTCCATCCCTGCTACATTTATCAAAAAGAAACCCACAACTCAATGCCTCTTCAAAATTTCTTCAAATTTCTCAAGAAAACAACAGTTAAAGAAAGGGGAAGAAAACCTTCAGCACTTTCAGAGGGACTATGTCGTCAATTTTCACTAGCTGAGCTCAAAGCTGCCACCAACAATTTTCATCATGATTTGAAACTCGGTCAAGGTGGTTATGGCGTAGTATACAAGGGCCTCATTGATGGTGGCTCCTTGGTTGTCGCTGTCAAACGTTTCAGTGGATCAAAACATTGCCGGCCTGAGGGAGAGTTACTCTGCCAGCTGCGCCACCAGAATATTGTCTCTCTTCTCGGGTTTTGTCACGAGGAGCGTGAGATGATCCTTGTGTTTGAATACGTGACCCGTGGGTCACTGGATCGTCATCTTTTTGGGAATGCTGATCCACTCCCGTGGAAGCGGAGACTAGAGATATCTATTGCGGCAGCGCGTGGATTACACTACCTTCACACAGCTGCAAAGCATGTAATAATTCACCGTGATGTCAAGCCTTCTAATATTCTTCTGGACGAAAATTGGGATGCTAAGCTTTCAGATTTTGGAACATCCAAAATTGGTCCCCTTAGCATCTCAAAGCCTAAGCCCAACGCTTTGACAAAAACGAAGTCAGGAATTAAAGGTACAATTGGGTATATTGCTCCAGAATATCTAATGCTTAGTGAATTCAGTGAAAAACTTGATGTGTACTCA